TTTATGCTCACAAACAAAACAAAACAGTCACCTGAGTGGTCCAGCTGCTGACTGGAGCTCTCTGCTTTCACAGTAGAAACTGCTGTATTCTTTCTTTTTTCTGTAGTCATGTTTAATTTAATCTAATCCAAAACAAACCCAAGTTTAAACTTTTTTTTTTAACACAGAAACAGTTTTATTTAAAATCTTGTAAATCAAACTTTCACAAACTACACTCATGTCTCATTATTTGACTTTTCTTTCTGTTATATATTGTGAGATTTAACATATTTTGATTGGAAGGATTGTTTTTATCTTCAGAAAACAATGTTATTAAATATAGAAATTGGCTGTTATGTCCATTTTAAAGAGTCCTGCATCCAAAGGCTTTTTGAGGTTTTATAAAGGAATTGAATAAAAAAATTGTAACTCATTTTATATACACCATCATTTTGAGATTTTATGGCTCCAAAATATGACATTTTCTCCTTATTATACATGTTCTGATTGGCACCAGAAATATTTCCTAAAAGCCTTTTCTGACTGGTCCTCAAACCCTTTTGTTATTCTTATGCAATCTTTTCTATAATGACAGACAGATGGATTAAAAGGTCTAATTTTGGGCTGTAATATGATGCTGACATAAATAGTCTAAACAAAAAAATGCAGGAGAAAAAAACTGCAGTCTTCCATTTTTAGCTACCACTTCTTATCCGGTAACGTAACTCAACCTGACATACATTCTCTGTATGCCTGAATATCAAAGTCCAGCTAATCCTTTAAGCCAATAAATACAAGGCAGAGACAGAGAGTCGAAGGACAGGAGTCAAACACTGTTCCAACAACCGTTCCGAGGACAGGTGATATGCATGGGTAGCCCTTACACATCTATTTTGCAGTGCTAGGATTCAACATTGACAAAAGGTTTATAATGAGTCATGCAAAGAGCGAAAACGTCAAACAAACTGGGTTTCTTTTTGCCTCTGCATGTGTTCCGAATGAAATCCTGCAGGTGAATTCAGTGCTACGGTCCAAACTAGGTGCATTTCCAACAGCTTTACCTAATGGGCTTTTTGAAGCATCAGAAAAGCTTGATGGAAAAAGCAAAATTTGAATACTCTCTCTAAAGTTCACAAAAAAAGTTTTCATGCCCGAGGTGGTTTTGGGCGGAAATGAGTTTGTGCGAACAACGGGATTTGGAAACGCTTTTTTCGAATCAGCTCTGGAATAGCAAACTTTTACTCACATGAGTGACCAGCTGTATTTGCTGTTGGCCTCTTCCCGGGTGTTCCTATTAAGTCAAGTCAAGTCAGCTTTTATTGTCACTTTCTTCATATGCACAAGACATACAAGGGAAATGAAATTACATTTTCTCTCTATACCATGCCAGGACAAGACATATACAAGACTGACATTTTACAGACTGACATAAAGTGCGGAACATGACAGTGGTCAATAATAAATACAGTACAAAGAACATATGACATTTAACATTAACATTCAATATTTAACATTGAACATGTAAAAGATGATAAGATATAGAGTATAGACATTACAATAAAAGCAATAAAAACAGCAGCAATTATGCACTTAAACAATGCTGGAAGAAACTTAGTCATTAATAGCTGACATGTTGACGTAAAAAACAACCTGCCAGATAGCAACATATTCTTCTACATACAGTTGATTTAAAGAAGTCTACAATCCCCTGTTTGAATGCCAGGTTCTTGTCAGGTAAAAAAATGACATTAAGATAACTGATTTCACATCTTTTTCCACCTCTTATGTCACCCATAACCTTTCGGCTACAAAAAAATAAACAGTAATCTGGGATGTTAGGTAAAAATAGAAAACGGAGACAGTGTGGATGTAAAAAGTGTGCATACCCCTATATTACTGGTGATGTATCTGTGTTCAGATTAACCATTTAGATTCAAACTCATGTTGATTTGAGTCAGCACATGCCTGTCACCAATTAGTCATTCTGATCAACCCAAAATACATTTCAGTTGTTCTAGTAGCTTTATCCCAACATTTCTGCAGACACGCTGGTGAACAGCATCAGTCATCCAGGTCATAGTTGTTCCAAAAATGTTAAAGAACAATCCGCTGGAATTTGTTTTTTTCTCCAAGTTTGAAGACGTTTTGCTTCCCATCCAGCAAGCTTTTTCAATTAAAAATGTCAGAAATGGCGCCGAGTTTGAGGGTTTATACAGGAGCCCAACAAAGCCTTCACTGGAAAAAAAAAAATCTTAAATTAAGTGTATTTACCCTTAATTTGAGGAGGTAAATGAAATAGTTTGCCACTGGAATGAGAATCTTCCCTTTTAAAATAATATAATTAGATAATATGCACTTGAAATAAGACAATGCTTTTGTGTTTTCTTATTTTGAGTGTAAATTGTCTTATTTTATTGGCAAAATGTCTCTTTTACCTCCTCAATCCAAAAACAAATGCACTTATTTTAAGAAAAAAAATTACTTATCTAGATTTCGATTTTATCTAGTATTGTTTTGGTTTAGAAAACATGCAAATTGAACCAACAGGTCTGGATTCTTTGTTAGCCTGTAAATACCCGAAACCTGTGTCTGTAAGGGGGGGTCGTTGAAGGGAATTGTTGGCCTGGCTGAACAGGTGAGGTGCTCTGTTCCCCTGTGATGGGGTGGGAGTTGCAATGATAGCGGGGATGAATCAACTCAATCACTGAATTGTAGGTTTTTGAGAGCTGAAATCCGAGTCCACCCCTTCTATTTAAGGTTGTTTTTATTTTTAACACACATGGCTTCCTTCACACCCTCTCAAACCGAATGCAAACAGAATGTTCACATTTTGGACAAAGAATATAGGTGGTTTAAGAGGGGTGTGAAGGAAGCCATGTCTTCAAACTTGGAAAAAAAAAATAATTTCTTTGGATTTTTCTTTAATTTTTTGGGGAATTTGGAATCTTCCAGCACAAGTGTTTGAGCTCCCAGAGCCTCAGAGGAAGCTTATTATTCTCACTATTCATTATTCAAAAATATTTGTCATATAAAAGCTACAAAAAATTACTAAGGAAGTAATTATACCATGAAACAAAGTAAACGTCATCAACAAGTGGAGAAAATATGACCCAGCAGTGAAAGTACTTGGAACAGGAGCTCCATCCAAAACCGATGAAAAGAAAACTAATGAGGGAGGTCAAGAGGCCGACAGCAACACTGGAAGAGATGCAGGGATTTCTGCATAGAACTGGCTGTGTAGAGCACGTGTCTTTTTCACATCCGTTTTTCAACTGCATTGTAAACATTATAAGTCACAATCCATTAAGTTGTGAAATTATCTCACAGTCATTTTTACATGACAAAAACCTAGCCTTTGAACAGGGGAGTTTAGGCTTTTTAAATCCACTGCAGCTGAATCAAATGGTTGAATTACCTCCTGATCATGCAGTCCAGTTCAGCAGAGTCATTTTAATGACCTGGTTATCCGATTCCCCTGTGCAGGGGCTCAGTAATATCTAAAGGTGCGAGACACTGAGGCATCAGGACTGGATAGAGGAACCCTGTAGAGCTGGGAGCTTCAAAATTTTCCAGGCCAAGGACCCCCAAACTGATGGCGAGATGGAGCGGGACCCCCTAATTATATATATTGTATGAAATAGTGTTCTATCCAACTGGTCCTATAGTCTCTCTATTACAGATGGAGTAATGTAACAAAAGTAATTTCTCCCTGGGATTCTTAAGTATTTCTGATTCTGATTCCTGGTTGATGGGACAGGTGTTGTGAATGAAACGGTGCCCAGCTTGAAAGAGCTCCTGTGTGTCGCTGAACGTGTTAATTGATGACTGAAAGACATCTTCTGCCTCCATTTATCCATTTACTACAATGTGTTGAATTCATGTTAATGTGGATTTAAAGACATTTCAATTAGTGGAAAAAATTGCAGGAGGAATATAAAAAAAAAAAAGTCATGCTGTACCTCTGTGGGCCCCCTAGGGGCCATGGACCCCTGTTGCACAGGAAAAATGATCTAGAAATAAGTAAAAAATTTCTTAAATTACGTGTATTTTCCCCCTAATTTGAGCAGGTAAATGAGATAGTTTGTCAATGGAATGAGTATTTTTACTCTTAAGATAAGATAATTCGATAATATTCACTTGAAATAAGACAATGCACTTGTGTTTTCTTATTTTAAATCTAATTTGTCTTGTTCCATTGGCAAAATGTCTCTTTTATCTCCTCAATTCAACAACAAATGCTCTTATTTTAAGAAAAAATTACTAATCTAGATATCGATTTTTTCCAGTGTGAAGACCTGTGCTGTAGAGCATCATCCCTTCCTCCACATTCTCCACAGTCTAAATACAGTTCCAGTTCACCTCTTTACAAACCAATTTAGCCTCAGAATGTACTTATTCTGTCCTGATCTGTCTGTCCTATCTTAAATTGTTTGAGAAGAGTTTAAGCTTTTAAATTGAAGCATCTGAAATGGCAGAGAGAGGGTGAGTTAGGCAGCTGTATAATGGAAACATTTGTTTTGAAAATAGGCATGAAACACATGACCGAGCGTCATTAGTTCTTCCCTAGCCCCCAGCTAAAGTTGTTTTGGGAGACTTAAATCATGTGCTTGTGTTGTATGAAGCCTTTTTTTCAGGAAAAAGTTTCAGTTTCTGACAAAAATGTCCTCATATTTAAAAAGTCCATCTCAGAGGTGTTTTTGTTCTTTCCTGAGTTAAAACCTACCCTGATGTTTATGCCAATCAAATGCAAAACTGCAGCTCCTCTCTGTTATGTTTCTGTTTAATCAATGGCTAATAAAGGAGAAAATTCTGATATTTAGCTTGGTTGTGATCTTACCATTCTTTCCTTTCATTGTGCGCAGCCGGGGCCTTCATCAAGCACAAGCTTCTAATTCCTGAAGTAAAATCCTCTTAGGATCTATGCTCTATTTCTGTTTGGTCCATTGGGTCTTTTTTTAAAATCTCCATTAGAGCCTGCTCATTGGCTGGATAAGCAACACGCATACACACAAAAAAAAAAAAAAAAAACACACACACAGCTTCCAGCAACAGATAGCGCTGACAAGTGATCAGGAGAACAGCAGCGCAGGGTTAACTGCTGAAACACAGGGAGGACTTTATCTGGACTGTCAAAGGTAAGGAAAACAGCTCTTATGGAATAGAACGAAATCAACAGAATACAGACATGTGAAGGCATCTCTTTTTAAGATCTTATTGCTCTGTAAAGATTTTATTCTTCTATTGAACGGAATATTTTGAATAACTGTTTTGCATTTGCGTTATTACTTGACACACATTGAAAATAATCAACATAAGGCTGCAAAACAGGATTAACTTTAGAACAAACAAGTCTCTTTCTTTGCTTACTTTTCCTCATCTTTTGTGTTTTACTTTCTGCTCACTTAAATCACTACCCTGTAACTCAGTACACAGACAGCTGTAGTATCATATACAAATGATGCAGTTATTGAATCTCCATTTATAAAGTGGGAGATAGATCATAAAGATCATTAGACCAGATCAGCATCGTGACTGCAAGCGGGGAGGGAGAACTACTCCCAGCAGGCCCTAATCCAATCTGATGTCGGCTTAAAATGCGTCACGCTATCTACTGGCTTAAACAGTGACACCACAGAAATGACACAGCAGTGTATGGAATACAAAACGCAAATTTGCATCCGATTCATTTGTATATCTGCTCAAAAAGTAGCTTTCAGGAGCAATGACAAGCAGAACAAGGATCTGATTGCTGTCCTGTAATCCTCTTAAACTGCATTAATTTAATTACATTTAAAGGACTCTTGTTGTTTGTAAGTTTTTCTAAATTATTCTACATCTGTAAAGACATAGTTTAAACTCAGGGGAGAATGATAAAGTATTTAAATGAAGGGAAACACCTTTTCTCCTTTACAGGTAGCTGAGCATAATGTCTGGCAGAGTGATTGATCTGGAGGAGACGGCGACGCATACAGGTGAGCAGATGATCCCTTTTCCTTTTTTTTTAAAACACGGTACTTTGTGTAAATCGATCAAGTGGAATTCTTTCAAAAATCTGTTTATCAGTTGAAAGCCTTGTAGAAAACATCTGAAACATTTTGTTCCTACAGAGATAATTGGCTAACAAAGGGAGAGGATTAAAGCAGGGGAAAGGAAAACCAACGCAAAGAAGAGAGCAGTTTAACAGATGGTCTAATCTTTTTCTTGTGAAACGTCAGGCTAATTAGTTCACTTCCTCGAAAGAAAAGATTATCTCTGGATTGCAAACAGGATACTCTACAGGGCTTGTCAATGCTGAGACCAAACGAAAGTAATTCACTGTCAAATCTACAGAAAACCCAGATTTAGATGCTTTATCAGGGTGAACAGGATTCAATCCTGACAGTTTAAGACTAAAATCTATTTTTATGCAAACAAAATCTTTGTTTGGGATTGGAAATTACACGGGCATCATCAAAAAATATTAGAACAACGATCACCATCCATCCATCCCCGAAGCTCTGGGTTGCACTTATGGGCTGTAGCCAAAGAGTGAAGCCCAGGCAAAGTACTGATTAGATCCCGGAACCACAATGTCTGTGATGTAATATTTATAAAACCGATTACTACCATAGGAGAAGTGGAGCAGGAGTATAAATATCTTGGTGTTCAACTGGACAACAAACTCAACTGAAGATGTAACACTGAAACTGTTAACAAAAAAGGAACATAGGAAATTGTACTTCCTAAGGCAGCTTAGGTCCTTCAGCATTTGCAGCAAGATGCTTCAGATCTAACTGATGCTTGGGATATATTGTTGGCCTCATGGTTTTGAATCTGCACAGATAAAACGATCCATATGATTGTGGAATAGGGGTGGAACGGTTCACAAAATCCTCTACGATCTCCAAGGAACTCAGAGTGGAGCGGACGGGAGCCACAGTGGAGGCTGTAGGGTTTGCTTTGTGCAGGCGGTCTGGAGCGCAGCGGGGCGGAGCGCTGATGGAGTATGTGGGATTTCGGGGTTAGCATGACATGTTGGTGGTGTTGCTGTTAGCATAAACAAAACGTGTTGCACAATGCTTGCACACTGTTGCACTTTTATCCACAACTTTCTTTCCGCCGTCATCGTAGGTCACTCTAAATGCAAAGTGGTCCCATACAGCAGACCTATAAAGTGCTGCTGGCGCGTCTTCCAACTCCTGTTCTTTCCCATTCGCCATACCCACACAATTCTCCACAACAACTGATTTTTTTCTGCTACACCCGGCTACGCTGCTTCGCTTCTTCTTCTTCTTATTTACTACTGGTGGTTGGCTTTGGTCGCAGTACCGCCACCTTCTGCTCTGGAGTGTACACGCTTCGCCTATGAGAAAAAGGAGCAGCGCATGAACCGAACGAAACACATGCGAACCGAACCGAGACAGTCGAACCGAACGGTTCGGACGGTTTTCATAAACCGCTCCATCCCTATTGTGGAAAGTAGTTTACTTGCACATGTTTTAAATGAAACAGCTTGTATGAGTTTTTACTGCAGGCGTGCCCTTTTGGCAGAAGTCTGACTTCAACTGACATTGTTTAGTGACCAAGCAGGACATGCTTTGCCAACTTTATTTGCTTGGTTCAAGTTCTTCTCCCTGAAATGTACATTTTATCAAGAAACCTTGCATTGCACAGCGATGCACTGATCACACATTTGCATTTGTTCTCTCTGTAGGTCCAAAGGGGGTCATTAATGACTGGAGGAGGTTTAAGTTGGAAAGTATGGACCGGGAAAATTTGCATCCTGCAAAAAAGGAACTTCTGAGGCAAATGTCGTCCCCTAATAAATCAAAAGATGACTCCAGAGCTAACCTAAACCGCAAGGTACAACCGCAATACCTTTCGAGCTTACCCAGATGACAGGATATTTTTTTAATGCTGCATTAACTTAACCTGACTCCGCCAGATGGATTTGCTGGATTTGCTCCGCATATCCATCTGGAAACCTTCCGTTGAAGTAATTTTGGGAAGGGGCAAAAATACTGGTTAGCTGATTGGCCTATGTTGGTGATAGACGGGCCAAATAAACCAATCAGATCAACGAAGCATATGACGTACTAACAGAGCGACGACGAAGAGGAGCCAATTGATAGATCAAACTCTTGCCAAAACCAGTCGGGAGAAGAGCAAAAACATCTTTTCCTCTGAGAAACGCCTCCAGAGCAGTGTTTTGCTCTTCTTTCAGTGAAGAAATACTCTGTAATTCCGATAAATGCTTGCTCGATAGCCACGCTAACGCTAGTTTCATCGGCTGAAGCCGCCATGTTCTTTAGACTGAACTGGCACACCTCAACCCGCCTCAAAGCCAACGCTGATTGGATGTTCGTTTGGTGAACGGCTCCAAATTTTCTTCAACGGAGAGTCTCCAGACTGATCTGCGAGTGAAATCTTGAAAGCTCGCGAGATCAGGATGGTCTCACGAGGCTAGCATGAACTTGCTCTAAATGCCAATATTGCTTTATAAAGGTTTTCTGCTTTACCATGATATAGATTTTAGAGACTGAGATGGAAAAGCTTGTAGGAACACGAGAAAAGATTGAAAATGATTCTTTTTTGTAACTGATGTCATCAATTTTTCAGGTGTTCATTGAGCCCTGCTTTAAAATCCCCTTTTTTCCTAGATGAGTGTCCAAGAGTATGAACTGCTTAAAGAGGAGGATGAAGGATGTCTGAAGAAATACAGGAGACGATGCATGGAAGAGATGCACAGCAAGCTCAGCTTTGGGCCCAGGTTTGAAGGTGTGCATGACCTGGACAGTGGCGAGGCCTTCCTCGAAGTCATCGAGAAGGAGCATCACAGCACAGTGGTGGTCGTTCACATTTACAAGATTGGGGTGAAAGGATGCGAGCAGCTCAATAGCTGCCTGGACTGCTTGGCCACAGAGTATCCCACTGTCAAGTTCTGCAGGATTGATGCCGTCTCATCCGGTGCTGCCGAACGTTTTTCTGATGAGTATTTACCTACGCTGCTGGTGTACAAGGCCGGGGAGCTCATAGGAAACTTCCTGTCCTGCACACAGCATATGAACGAGGAGTTCTTTGCTACCGATGTTGAAGCTTTCCTCAACAGTTACGGTCTGCTCCCAGAAAAAGAGCTGCCTGGGGTGGAGGATGAAGAAGAAAATGATGTAGAATAAAAAAGAAGGAGGAAATCATCTACAACAAGAGGTTCGGAAACTAAATAAATCGGTATATAAATGAAATATCCAATTTTAATTTTTGACTCCGACAAAGAGAAGATACAAATATTTTCCTCTATAACACTAGTGTTGGATTATTTCTTGAATATATATTTTATGCATATGTACAGGTTTTGAAAAACGTTTGATACTTGGACAAAGGAGTTGCTAAATAATGATCAGAAAACGCTGCATTCCTCATTATCAGCTTAAAAAAAGCCGAAACAGGATAACTGTAAAGATAAACACATTAGTGGGTTTTTTTTTTTTTTGCTGTTTGCTTTTCATTTTAAGGAGATATTTAATGCTGTCGATTCATTCTCAGTATTTTTTTTTAGATTTGAAAGTATGGATGTATACTCTGGAAATGTTCACCCATGAGCTATTCCTCTTGTAATGTGACATATTACACACTTGTCCTGTATAGTATTTGGTTTGTATGTTTTTTTCTGATAAATAAATTAATGGGAATAAAAACCTTGAAGCCCTTGAATTAATAAAAAGCCTTTACAGTGTTTAAAGTCTACAATAACAATTAAATATGACTAAATAGTCTATGCTTGTGTACAGTGCACACTGTAGCCACAGCTGCTGACTGTAGAACTGCAGAGTTGCAGAAGTGATGCTGCCAAACAATCAGCACCACCAGCAGAGGTAAGTAGAGTTCCCAAAAATGGTACTCTAGCAAGAGTAACACTACTTGATCATATTTTTTACTCAATTAAGAATAAAAGGTAGCCATTTAGATTTGATTCAATTCAATTCAGTTTATTTCTATAGCGCCAATTTACAACACATTTCATGTCAAGGCACTTTAAAGTTCACCAGATCATCCAGTCAGTTTGATTCAAAGTTTTCTATCTAAGGAAAACCAGTTGATTGCATCGACTCATTGACTCGAATGCCATCCCTCACACTAAGGATGCTCGTAGTGACAGTGGAGAGTAAAAACTCCCTTTTAACAAGAAGAAACCTCCAGCAGAATAAGGCTCAGTGTGAGCCGCCTTCTGCTGAGGCCGACTGGGGTTCAATTTAAGAAATAACTTCAGTAACAGTAAAAAGTATTTAGGCCATTTAAGTCTAGTGGTTAGGGCATAGGGCTTTGAAACCTGAGATTGTGAATTTGATCCCCTACTCCCACAGACTGCAATTTTGGGTCCCTGAGCAAGACCCTTAACCTCACACTGCTCGACGGGCGCCTCACAATGGCAGCTCACTGCTCCCCAAAGGGATGGGTTAAATGCAGAGAAGTAATGTCCCTCTGGGATTATTAGAGTATATAAAATAAAATAGAAAAATTAAAAATCAAAACGTAAAGTTACGTGCAAATTCTAGTATTCTAAATACTACAGTTAAATAATTAAAATAATCAAAAAGTAAAAATACTAGGCCAAACCCATCTTCATTCTAAAATATAATTTCTGAAACCAGTACCTTCAGTGACAATATTTACTCCTTATTGGATATTAGCTAAAGCTAATGTCACAGAGTTTAACTAAGCTTGCGTTCAGAAAAAACATCTATTTTCTACAGTAACATGAACCATTTCCTTGTCTGAAGCACTTCTTGTATGTTATTCGAGGAAGTTATTCACACTGGATGGAGTAGCAAAATATTTTACTCAAGTAAGAATAGCCATATCTAATTAAGGTATCACTCAAGTAAAAGTGAAAACTATGGTGATAAAAACTACTGCTAAAAGTATTTTTTTTTGTCAAAAAGTTATTGAAGTATGTAACTAGTTACCACCTCTTACTACTCACAGTAGGTGAGGTGGGAGAAGTGTGCTGCTTAAGGACTGAGACGGACAGAGTGGAAGCTTGAACACTTTAACCCATTGGCTACAGGATGAACACCTACCTCTGAGTCCCATTAAGCCAATATTATTCAATGCAATTCTATTTCCTTATGTGAATTATACAGTCAAGTAATATTCCCATACCAAAAAGGTCAAAATACAGTTGATTATGGACTATATACTCCAAGCGTCCATCTTGATAGTGTTTTAATAATTTCAGCCTAAATAGGATCTCAGCAGCGGGCACAATGAGATGACAAACAGATGTGGTGCCACTAGGGCTGGGCGATATAGAAAAAAAGCTTATCGATAAAAAAAAAATGCATATTGATCGATATCGATAATTATTGAAAAGATTTGAAACCATATTTTATGTGCAGCTCTGCCTGGACTTTTTATGATATTGCTAAATGATTAAATTTTAATAAAGAACACAAACACAGACTTCCAATTAAATATTTATTTAACCAACTTTTTTAACTATAACAGAATTGTTTTAAAGAAAAATAACTTAAAAGACCTGAGTTATGCTATTAAATACTGACAAAGAATAAACTAAAGTGACCAGAAAAGTGACCAAAATAAATATAACAAATACATAAATAGAATACCCTATTTGGGTGGGACTAGTACACCACCAGCTTGTGGTAATTAAAAGATTGTAGGACTAGGCTACCATGTAAACTTCGCTCAACAAGAACAAAAACCCAAATCAACTCACCCTTTAGCCTAGCATTTCTATGGGGTATTTTTTCCCACCCCTATTCTTCTAGAGCTGCTACTGGCACCTCGTTATGGTTCAGCTTAGTTTCCTGCTTTAACCTGAGTTGTTACTTTGAAGTTGCTGGCCCCTCAGCATTTTTCTCAACTTTTAGAACTACGTGGGAAACTGCCCAGAACTGAATGTAAATAAATATTTTCCCGAAATTCCCGAAGATTCCTCGGAGGAGAGCCGTGCCGGGGCCTACACAGCTCGTACTCCTGCGGGTGTGAGCGGCTGAGATGATAAAAAAAAAAGTTGGTTGTGTTATCAGACTTCGTTTTCACTGGTTCCCTACACATTTTACAGATGACTGGCAGTATTTCAGTCATGGCAAGTCGGACAAAAAACAAACCCCAAACTGGCGAACTATAAAAACCCTTCTTTGAAACAATTTCCTCCGCCTCTCCTTGCTGCGACATCTTCATGTGCTCTGTGTTGTGATTTGAGAGGGCGGCGCTTTGTGACGGCGTGCCTGGGTCCGCGATTGCGATTGGTTAGAAGGAAGTAGTGACTAGCATAAACCTACATGCTAGGCTACAATGAGAAGGAAGGAAAACTGCGTTTCTTATCGAACTTTTATCCACTCTCTTTTTTCTATTGCGCCACACGTCTGTCCATCGATATATATCGTTATTGAATTATCGCCCAGCCCTAGGTGCCACCTACCTGCACTACTGCTGAACTACAAGAAAACCAGATGGTGGCCATTGATGCAGCTCCTAAACCCAACCGTGCTAACCGTACGGTTTTGCGAAAAACCCATCAGCTTGCAGGTTGGGGCGTAAAAGCATTGCTTACAGCAGTGGCACTATTAGAGAGCACATGTATTCACATGTCTATTAAACTCCTTGGCAACGTCAAACTGTATTTACAGCGCAACTCAAGTTTTATCCCTCTTGGAATCAAACGTTTTGCCATGAATTTTCTCTCCCCCCTCCAACTATGCTGGGAATTTCTCACTCCATCATGATCCATGTCTCCATGTTCACTGGTTGTACGAATGTCTAGTGACATAATCCTGTGGGGCAACAGTGGCGTCAGGTGCAGGAGTTTGCCCTGCAATGGGAGGGTTGTCGGTTCAAACCCTGGCTCTCTGTCTTTGCGTCCTCGGACAAGACACTTCACCTGCATTGCCTACTGATGGTGGTCAGAGGGCCCGGTGGTGTCAGTGTACGGCAGCCTTGCTGTTCTTTCAGTTTGCAACCAGTCTTAGTTACTGCCATATACATTTAAAGATACCATATAAAGTGACTATGTACCTTTAAATAAAATAGCAAGAATCTCTTGAATTATTCAACCTAGAACAACATTCACTGTTGTTCTCTTACGTCTCGATTCAATCTGTCAGTCAGCGGTCAAAGGACCCACTGAACGTTTTTGCCTTTTAAGAAGTAGAGGAAAGCCCATTTTTATCTTTTGGAGATTACAAAACCAAAGAAAGCAATTATTACCTCTTCGTAAGTTAAGGTTATAATTTTTAATGACGGGTCCAATTTTCAACTTGAGTCTGAAGCATCTGAGGGGATTCATACAAAAAAAAACAATTTCACAGGACCTAAACCTAAACTAACTGGTGTCCTGCATGGAATACCACAACCTTTGTTCATGTGGCATCATCCCAGAGCTGCTGCAATGAGTGTAATTCTCCTCAGGCGGTGATGCTAAATTTAAATTTCTCGCCAGGAAAAAGGGTAGGGTTATACGAGAAGTTGTCATATATTTTGGGAAGACATAAAACATGATGTTACTCAGACTTACTGTAGATTACACCGTTTTTTTCCTCCTTTGGGCTTCCTTCTTTCTATGGAAATACTGAGGATGGATTTCTCATCAATGCAGAACCAGAGGGCCAAGGAGAGAACCCTGCTCTCTTTAAAGGCACTGAAGGGGATTCAGCTTGTCCAATGTTATTTCAAAGACGAAGACTTAAATGCTTAATTGGTGAGGAACCAAAATATTCACGTTATTGTTTCATAATTAAAGAGAGCTTCTGTAAGCAATCGTAATATCTTTGTAGTTATCTACCGCTGGGTCCTTTTCTTTTTAAAGGAAATTCCAATCCACCTATGCAAGTAAAACCCAATACTCTTTTGGCAGGTAACACTATCTTTCAGCGATTATTGGCCAAGAGGAATATTCATGAGGTAGACAGTCTTCTAAGATGAAGATTGCAACAATCATCTCATCAAGTCATCATGTTCAGATTGGCCTCTCTTCATCAGATGATTGGAGTCTGGTGTGCTATTGCTTGGTTGGAAAGAAAACCTGCAGCCACACGACCCTTTCTGGAACCACTTTGACACCCCTGCTCTACATAATACACAGCAAATATTTTTGTTGAAGTAGGTTTTGGTGGTAAAGGGTAAAGTAAATTAAAATGATAAAGGAAATTATTAGAATTGAAGCAGAATTATTTGGGTATGGTTCCTGGGTAACGGATGTGTTGATCTGTTTGTGTTATTGATGTCAGAGCATTTTGATCTGAGTGGATAGAGATAATAAAATGTAACCTTTGCTCAAATAAACAGTTATTTCCACCAAGAAGACAATCCTCACTGAACACAAAGCCAGAGACTCCAAAAAGGGGTAAGGAATGATTGACGGGGTCCATGATTGACGGTGGCCCACAGACACCCCTAATATTTAATTCAATTTAGTTTATTTCTATAGCGCCAAATTCACAACACATGTCATCTCAAGGCACTTTACAGTTCAACCAGATCATCCAGTCAAATTGATTCAAAGTTTTCTATCTAAGGAAAACCAGTTGATTGCATCGACTCATTGACTCAAATACAATCCCTCACACTAAGCATGCTCGTAGTGACAGTGGAGAGGAAAAACTCCCTTTTAACAGGAAGAAACCTCCAGCAGAACCAGGCTCAGTGTGAGCGGCCATCTGCCGAGGCCGACTGGGGTTCAAGGAGACAGA